CTATACACTTGCCTCTAATATTGCATGTAAGTGAGATCATACAATATTCGTGCTTTTGTGACTAAATTACTTCACTTAGCATAATGTTTTCAAGGTACTGAAAACATTTTTTTCTAAGTAAAGTAAGGTATTAAAAACACTGTAGCATGTAGTAGAATCTTATTTCTCTTTATGGCTAAAGTAATGTTCCACTGTATGGATGCAGCATATTTTGTTTATCCATTCATTTGTTGATGGACATTTAGGCAGTTTCCACCTTTTGGTTATTGTGAATAGTACTGCAATGAACACTGGAGTTTAAGTATCTGTTTGTGTCCCTGCTTTCAATTATTTTGAAAAAAGAATACACCAGAGAATGAAATTGCTGGGTCATATGGTAATTCTATGTTTAACTTTTTGAGGAACCACCAAAGTGTTTCCCCCAATGGCTGCACTATTTAAAATCCACCAGCAGGGGAAGAGGGTTCCAATTTCTCCACATCCTCACCAATACCTGCTATTTTCCATTTTTTTCAAATCACAGTCATCTTAGAGGGTGTGAAGTGATGATATCTCAGTGTGGTTTTTGTTTTTAGAAACTGATGTTTATTTTCCATCAACTTTATTTCCGTTTTTTAAGAGACTGTGGAAGAATAGCTTAAGACCACTCAGTGGTGATTCCTACTGAGTCAGTAGCCTAAGTGATGGGGGCTGCGGACCAATGGTCAGTTGCAGGCTAAGCCCTCCAGTCTTCAGAAGGGAACTGCTGAGCAGGCCCGGAGGGTACCTGCACACCTTCAGACCAGTCTGCAACCTTGGGCTGAGCAGCAGTTAATTCACAAGTGGGAGCCTTGACCCTAAATTCTTTCTTGGTCGGCCTTTTCAACAGCAGCCTGCTCTTTCTTTTCAATCTCATCCAGATCTCAGTAGAAGCAGAAACCAGGCATGACCTCCCACAGGTGATGCCAGGAGATGGTGCCATGCACAAGCAGAACTTCTTGGGCCAGTATCTGCATCAGACCCACAGAATGAGCTCTCTTGTTACTGCATGGAATGGCAATATCCATGTAGCACAGAGGAGACTCTGTGTTAGAAACAGCAATGGTGGGCAAGTTAACATGACTCTGTGAGAGGCTGGTAGTCAGCCTGGAATCACTACCCACCAGGAGACAAGGCTTCTGCAAGGCTCTGAATCTGGTTAGTGAAAGTTCTAGGAGTGAAGTGCCCAGGAATAGGAGTGGCTCCAGTGGCAGCAGCAAACTTCAGCACAGCCCGCTGGCCAGTATTCCCAGACGATATGACGCTGACATCAGCCAGGTTTTCAATGGCAACAATAGCCTGAGCTGCCAACAGAAGCTTCTCCCAGGTCCTCTTTAGGCTTATGATGTAGATGCTATCACTTTTCCTCTGGTAGATGTACTGTTCGATTTGGAAGTCAAGGTTGGTGCCACTTAAGTGAGTGCCTGCTACAAGGAATTTGAGGACAGACTCCTTCATCTGTAGAACATAAGAGCTCCGGATATTGTGCAAGTTTCCCCTTTAAGTTATGATGGGAACCCAGGGTAACATGATAGACTCTTCTCTGGGTACTGCAGAAAGCACTCATTTTGTTTTTTTCATTGTTTTTTATTTGCATCTCTCTAATGATGAACTCAGGACCTCTGGTAGCATAGTGCCTAAGGCACTTGACTGATAACCCAAAGGCTGGTGGTTCAAACCCACCAGCCACTCCTTGGAAAGAAGGTTGGGCAATCTACTTCCGTAGTGATACTGTCTTGGAAACCCAAGGAGGCGTTGCTATGAGTCGGGTCCGACTCAAGGGCACATAACAACAACAACAATGATGAACTCTGCTGGCGTAGTGCCTAAGGCATTTGACTGCTAACCACGTTGGCAGTTCAAACCCACCAACCACTCCATAGTAGAAGACAGGACAATCTATTTCTGTAAAGATTTACCAGCTGTTAGATAGATAGAGATAAATATTGATTTGGGTGAAGAGAAGGGCAATGTACCAAATGTGAGTGACCAATATGGCAGCATTGAGGATGAGAAAGACATAGAGAGTTACATGGGCAGTACAGACAACAAATATGAACCCTTTTGCATATACAGTACTGAGTTGTCAGTGAAAGCAAACATGGGTATAGGGACGGATAGATGGGTGAACAAGCTAAACGATTAGGTATGTCTAAATGGAGAGTGTATCCAAGATCATATATAGGGTTGGCAGACAATGGGCCTATAAGTTCATGTGAATGATCAGAATTCCCAGGTGTATAGTAGAACTGACAAGGGGCAAGGTTGTGGTCATTACTTGGTCACAGCCAGCTACCCAGAGGGACCGAGTAGTTGATCCTGAGGGCTTGGGACCATAGTCGCAGGGGACATCAAGCTCAATTGGCATAACATACTATACAAAACATTGTTCCACCTACTACTTTGGTGAGTAGCGACTGGGACCTTAAAAGTTAGGAAGCTGCCATCTAGATGCAACAACAGGTCTCTCCTCGTCAAGAAGAAAGAAGAAAACCAGAAGAACTAGATGGTGCCCAGCTACCACTGCCATCCACTTGGAAGGGATGTAGGAGATCCTACATAAAGAGGGAGAACAATGTAGTACAAAACTCAAAATCGTTTGGAGGCAAAAAAAAGAAAAGAAGGTGGGGACCAGGTTTGCTGGTCCAATGGAGCCTGGTGTAACCACTGAGACTATGGCCCCTAGTTGCCCTTCAGGTCTGGAATTGAACCCACAACTGTGGTTTCCAGCCAAACAAAGTACAGGCATGTGAGTTAAACATTTACCTCAAGTAGACACACGCCCTGGAGAGAACAATCATGGGAGAAGGAAGGGCTGCTTATCCACAGGGAGATAGCTCAGGGTGCAGAAGAGTATGAAGGGATGGACACTGGGAGGAGGTAACTATGGGGAGGAAGTGGGAGGGGAGCTGCTGCATTGTAAATTTTGGTCAATGACATGAGACAATGTATATGTGAACTGCTGTATGAAAAGTGAATTTACTCTGTAAATCTTCACCCAAATCCTAAAAAAAAAAAAAGATTTACCACCTTAGAAACCCAAAAGGGGTCGTTATGATGAGTCAGAATCGACTCGATGGCAATGAGTTTGGTTTTAACGATAAATGAAAAGAAGCTCTGGTGGTGTAGTGGTCAAGACATTTGGCTGCTAACCAAAAGGTCAATGGTTCAAACCCACCACCCATTCTGCAGAAAAATGAGGCAGTCTGCTACTGTAAAGATTTACAGCCTTGGAAACCCAATGGGGGTTGCTGAGTCAGAGTCAACTCTAAGGTAGTGAGTTTGGTTTTTTGAACAACTAGTGCTATGAGTTGGGTCTGACTCGACGGCACATAATAACAATAACAACAGTGATGGTGAACATCTTTTCACGTACTTGTCAGCTATTTGTATATCCTCTTTGGCAGAATGTCTAGTCACTTCTTTGCCCATTTTTGAATTGGGCTGTCTTTTCATTGTTAAGTTTAAGGAGTTCTTTATATATATTCTGAATATTAAACACTTACCCACTATCTAGCTTCCAAAATTTTTCTCACCATTAATGAACATCAGCTTTTAATTTTGATGAGGTCTCATTTATCTATTTTTTCTTTCGTTGGTTGTGTTTCAGTGTATCTAAGATACCATTGTTAAAAACTAGATCCCAAAACATTACTCCTATGTTTTCTTCTAAAAGTTTTATGATTTCAGTTTTTACACTTAGTTCTTTGACTCATTATTAGTTTTCTACATGGTATGAGATATAGGTTCATTATTTTGGAAATCCAGGTGTCCTAGCATCATTTATTGAATGATTTCTTGAAGAGACTCTTCTTTCCCCATTGGATGGACTAGCACCTTTATCGAAAATCAACTGACCATAGTTCCAGACCCTTAATTCTATTCCATTCATCCACATACAGGTCTATTTCTGGACTCAATTCTATTTCATTGGATTATGTATCTATCATTAAATCAGTACCAGACTGTTATTATTGAAGCTTTGTAATATATTTTGAGATCAGGAAGTGTGAATCCTCCTACTTTGTCCTTTTTCAAGACTGCTTTGGGTTGCCATGAATTGGAATGGACTTGACAGCAATGAGTTTGGTTTTTTTGGTTTGGTTTGTCTATTTGGGACCCCTTGCCATTCCATATAAATTTAAGGATCGGCTTTTCTATTTCTGTAAAGATGGCTGTTGGAATTTTAATAAATGTTGCTGAGTAGGATTTTAAATATCTTATGGAATTTCCCCTCCTACTCCCATTCATTATATTCATGAAGATCAATCTACGTCTATGAGAAGCAAGAGTGTCAAGGAGAAAGAATTTGATTTGCCAAGGTCAGATTTCCACTGGCAATATTCCTCACAGGCAATCAGCACACCAGCTGCCTCCCTGAATTCATTCCCAATCCCATAACCATACTTGAGAACAAACACATGAAGATACACATTGACAGAACCACAGACACTCTACAAACGTTCATTCTCTTTCATTAAAAATCTTAAGTTACGAACATATTGATTCATAAATAGTAATGGGGCGGGGTTGCTGATACTTAGTTCTATATACCCTGAAACCAAGCTTCTGGGACTACCTTCTCCAACATTAGATACTTCCTTCACCCTCAAAGAGGAAGTTCTGCCTATTTGATTCTGAGGTTACATGTATTCTACAGGCTCACTTAGGCCCCACTTAGGCTTTGCCCAAGAGAGGGACCATTCACTTGTCCTAGGAGGGCAGAGAGGGTACAGGGACTGCACGTACGGCTGTGGAAAGGAAGTGCTCCTAGATGAGGGATGGGACATCCTGTGGGAGAGAGGAAGTCAAGCATTTCATTTTAACGGAGTGATTTCCCTGTCAAAGAGGAGTTGATTCTGCAAACAAGAGTCTAAATAAAGGTAGAACTACCTTTTAGGCACCCCTAGCAGATCTCTCCATAGATCCATGGTCCTGAAGGCTGAGTCCAGGGCCTCCTACCCCTGTGGCAGGGGTACAGCTTAGAAAATCCCATAGATGCTGACCCTGGCCAGGGAGATGCTCTCTGTGCACTGGTGCCGGCCTTTCTCATACAGGACATAGAGCTGGGGAGCCTGTCCCTTCTTACTCATGATGTCCTCTAGGACTGCCATGGAGGAGTAGCCACTGGGCCCTGGCCATAGCTGGAGTCTCTCTTTCTGCCACGAGGTACCATTGCTGAAGCTCCAACGTAGGGTCAGGTTCACTCCTGAGGAGACAGCAGAGTCAGGGAAAGGAGGGCCTCTGCCTAGACCCTCTCTAGCATGGGGGCCCCACCCGCTGACCCCACCCATCAAGCACTCACGGAACTCTTCATGGGCTGGGTTGGAGAAGAAGACAATGCCACTGTTGGTGGCTAGAGCTCCTGCAGCTACCACAGGGTCCACGAGTTCTTCATCAAAGGTCACATCGCGGGGCCGCAGTGTGTCACAGGCATCATAGCTGCGGAGGATCATTCGGCAGTGGCAGTGGTAGTTGTTCTGGTTCCGGGCATTGATGACAACGGAGCCATCGGGGAGCTCATAGGGCTGAGAGGAGAGATTCAGGCCTCAGAGGAACTCGGGGGGAGGGGCAGGGCAAATGCTTCTATTTCTGAGGGGAACAAGGGTAGGTGGGACAGAGCTGGGCAGCCAGGCCCTGCGTGTATGAGAGAAATGGGTTTTCTCGAAGACGGAGCAGGGAAAACAGATGGGAACAGCCATGGACACCTGACCTGGCACTCATCAGGGTTGAAATCATGTTGCTGCTTGGGCTGGCCATAGGGGATGCCAGTGACCCCACTCCCATAGTGCCAGGAGGCTCCATGGTCATCGCTGAGGAGGCAGAAGACACCATCCCGCTCCAGTGTCCCATGGCCACACACGATGAGCCGGCCTTTCCGTGGCTCCCGCTGTTTCTGTGGGAAGGGGAGTTGGGTGTCACAGAGGGAGACATTGCAGGGGCTGAAAGGCAGGGAAGGGGTACCAACACCTCCCATATATAAGGATACATCTGGTCACCTTCAGTTCTGCCCTTGTTCACTGAGGGTCCCAGGAGGATCCCATTGCCTGAATCAAGCAGCTCTTTTTCACAATAAGGAGCTCTGGTGGTGTAGTGCCTAAGGCATTTAACTGGTAACCAGAAGGCTAGTGGTTCAAACCCACCAGCCACTCCTCGGAAGGAAGGTTGGGCAATCTACTTCCGTAGTGATAACTGTCTCGGAAACCCAAGGAGGGGTTGTTATGAGTCAGATCTGATTCCACGGCAGTGGTTGCATTTTTGTGTTGCTTTCAGAATAAGCTCCTTCAGGAAATCCATGGTGTACAACTGGACACGTTGAACACAGCACAAGGGGACCCAGCCAAGGAGATATGTGGGAGCTTAAACTCAACCTGTTCTCCGTGCATAGGTTTGTGTCTACCCAAAGGGGTGCCTTTTCTAATTTGAACCACACAGACTGATGCAGCCCTGGTGAAAACCCCCAAATGGGAAGTCAGTGGTAACATTCCATCTTTCCCTGGTAGATTATTTCTCCCAGCCTGTCCCTTTCTTCCATGGAATTCTACACAAGATGGAAAATCTGACTCCACAGGATTTTTTCCTTGAGAAGGAGTCAATTTTTTTTTTTTTGAAGGGGAGTGGGAAGACGTCCATTTTAGGGTACCTCCCAGACTCTCTACAAACCAGCATCTCTACCCATTTCCCAGGACAGACACCTGAATGCCGGAACCTGGTCCAGGGGCAAACATCTCGGTGCCAATATCCACAGAGAGGTTCTTGGGTTTGCTCCAGGAAAGGCCATCATCCTTGCTCCACAACAACATGGTGGAGGCCACCTGGCAGCCGAGCTTATGAGCACAGAGGGAGTAGAAAAGGAACACCACTCCTGTCTCAGCGTCACTCACTACTGCCCCCAGGTTCAGTCCATCAGAGGTATCCCCATCATCTACGATGAACTCTGTTGGGGACCATGTGTTTCCTGAAGGAAAAAGGGAAGACACCCAGTATGAGCACTCAGGAAGTACTCTTTCTACCCCAAAACGCTTGCTGTCTCGAGTCAATTCCATTTCATGGTGACCCTGTAGGTATAGAGTAGAATTGTGCTCCACAGGGTTTTTCATGGCTGTGAACTTCCAGAAGCAGCTCACTAGGCCTTTCTTCCAAGGCAACCTCTGGATTAGTTCAAACCACCAAAGTTTTCAGTTATTAGCTGAGTACTTAATCATTTGTGCCACCCACGGAACCTCCCTTCCCATCACTCCCTGTCAATTTCCTATTTCTAGCAAGGGAGCCAAGGTCTAACAATGGCCCCAAGACCTGCCCCTCCTTATCTCTGATCTTATCTCCTATTCCTGGTCACTCCATCCAGCCACATCAGGGTTCCTTTGTATTCCTCAAGTACTCTTCCCCTGGGCCTCTGCACAGGCTGTATCTCTGCCTGGTGCACTCTTTCTTCACAAGACTGACACCTCCTTTGAGTCTTTGCTCAAATGTCACCTGTTTTAAATGGCAGCCCCTCAAATGCCAGTATTCCTCATACTTCTTGCCCTGTTTCATTTTTCTCTATTGCATTTATCACCTTCCAACACAAAAATTTACTTACATACTATGTTTATTGTCTGTCTCCTCACAAGCTCCATGAGGAGAGGGATTTTTACTCTATTTTGTTCATGACTGTATTCACAGGGGAGTTGCTGGGTGGTGCAAATGGTTATCGAACTTGGTTGCTAACTGAAAGGCTGGAGGTCCAAGTCCACCTAGAGATGCCTTGAAAGAAAGGCCTGGAGATCTACTTCTGAAAAACCAGCCATTGCAAACACTATGGAGCACAGTTCTATTCTGACACACAAGGGGTCACCAGGAGTTGGGGTTGACTAGATGGCAGCTGGTTTTGGTTTGTAGTCACAGAATCTAGAACACTGCCTGCCATATAGTAGGTGCTCAATAAATATTTGTTGACTAATCATCCAACTCCCTGGCAATCCTAATTTCTGGATCCATGACCTAGGTACTTTCTCTTCTTAGATTCCTCTACCTAAGGGCCCTTGCAACCTACAGGTTCCCACCCATGCAACCTATACCCACTCTTGCGACCCAGGCATCTTTATACCCTGGTCAAAAGACCTCCGCAGAGCGATGAACTTGGCCCCCATATCGGATGTAGACATTTTTCGGGCCTCAGAGAAGGCGAGGAGAATGCCCCGAGGAGTGGCCGTGATGAGCGGGATGCGGAAGGTGTGCACAGAGCCTATCTGCTTCCCGCTCACCCACAGCAGCTGCTCCATGGTCACCAACGGCTGCACCTGTGACGGGAGGAGCTTTTCAGCATGGACAGACTTGTGAATTAGGATTTGGGGACGGATGGATAGCACCTCGGACTCAGGTTTCCCTGGGACAGGAAGGTGATGGGGATTCGGAGCAAGGGAGTAATCTAGTGGACAGTTTAGAGCGAAGCTGAGTCTCGGAGAGAGGAGGGGTGAGGAAGCAAACCAAAAAGAGGAAGGGGCTCCAGTTAGCAGAAAACTCGAGTGGAGTAGGGCGAGGGCCTGGAGGAATGGAGCTGGAAGAGGATGGAGGGGACCGGCGCCGGGAGCAGGCGTCGGGGGACGGGAAGGGGAGAGTCTGGAGCCGAGAAGACGCTCAGCCGCCTGCGTTCTGGGGGACCAGACCGGGCACACAGACCGCTGGAGCAGGCTGGGGAAGGGTCTGAGCGAGGGGTGGCTCACCAGACTGAAGTCTTCCTTTGCCCTGGTTCCGCATCCTGCCCGAGACAACAGCAGTAGGAGGATTGCGGCAACCACCTGAGCCTTATAGTCTCTCCAGATTCTCAGCATCAGCGGTCCCCGGGGTTTACCCTGGAGCGCTGTGCTCAGTCGCTCCACCATCACAGTTCCCAAGCAGCAGCCAGGACACTGCCCCTAGAATTGGACAGGGTCTGGAACTGGTGGGCTGACCCGGCTCTTTAAACCCAGACCCCACTTTCGGCCCGCGGTGGACTCTAATTGGCCCTCACGCTCTACGGGTCCCCACGTGACCCTCCGGCATCGCGGAGCTCGTTTTCCAATTGGTCCTCATGAAGCTGGAAGCGCGTGACCTCGGCGAGAAGCTGATTGGCTGAGGTGAAGCATAGCATCACTGTGCTTGAGCCTTTTTACAGGTCGCGGCACCTAGGGCCTGCCTTCGGGGCGGGGCCCATTTTAAAGAGCCAGGCTGGGGGCGGGAGGAGGCAGCTTGTGGAGGGACTAAATCTCAGACTCATTGAGAAAACAAAATATCAATCTTTAATAAAACCCTTTTACTACAAAATCGTAATCTGGAAGTCAGAGTGGGGCTGCGATGCTATACAGACGCTATACAGCCCTGGGTCAGGGCAGGGCTGGGTCTCTCACTTCTTTTTCTTCTTCTTCTTGTCTCCCGGGGGCGCCTCATTTTTCTTGCCCAGAATTTGAAGAAGAGCCTTGGACATGTAGTAAGGTCGGTCCAGAGAACCGTCGTTCCGCTCCAGGTCTTCCACTGAGCCGCAACAGAGACCGGTCAAAGCAGACCCTGGGGTGGGCAGGGGAGGCCAACCCTATCCCCGGGAAAATCACGGACTGGGAGATTGGGTGGTGAGTTCAGGCTTCATCACCACCAGCTGGGATTTTGAGGGGATGTTTTGTAACCTCAGTTTCTTATCTGTACAGTCCTATCAATAATACTATACGTTCTAGAGTGATAAAGATTAAGGGGTGGGAGGAAATGCATATGGATTGCTCAGAACCTGGTACACACCAAGCCCTCCATAAATGTACACACCAAAAAATCAAGCCAATTACCATGGACTAGATTCTGTCAAAGAGCAGAACTGAGCTCCATAGGGTTTTCTTGGTTGTTATTTTTATGAGGAGTGTCTGGTTGGCACAAATGGTTAAGCACTTGCCCCCTAGCTGTGTGGTTGGCATTTTGAACCTACCCAGAGGTGCCTCTGGAGACAGGCTTGTCAGCCTTGAAAACCCTAGGGAGCAGCAGTTCTACTCTGCACACAAGGGGTTGGTATAAATTGGAATTGGCTTGATGGCAACTAACAGTCTCTATGGAAACAGGTAGCTTGGTCTTTCTTCCATGGCACTGCTGGATGACTTCAAACCATCAACCTTTCTGTTAGTCTAGTACAGACTGCTACCCAGGGACCTAAATGTACACAGTTGGGTAAGACATAACCTTCTCACTAAAGCCACCAGCTGGGAAGGCTCTCTTGTTAATTTCCAGACTAGTTTTCCTAGGGGAAGATAGCAGAGGCTTCTTCTCTGGAATGCTCCTTCCTGGGAGAGCCTACAAGCCTGGGGTTCACTCTCTCTTCCCCAATCCCGAGGATGTCACCCACCAGCCTCTCCTCGGAAGGAAGGTTGGGCAATCTACTTCCGTAGAGATACTGCCTCGGAAACCCAAGAAGGGGTCACTATGAGTTGGATGCAACTCGACGGCAAGTAACAACAACAACCCGAGGATGTCAATCCCATGGCCTGAGGATGTCAGAAGAGGCTCCCTTTTAACTGATGACATTGCAGTTTCTAGAACCACCAAGACCCCATAAAAGCCTGAATTGGCCCACACCTTGGGGGTGGGAGGAGATGGTTAGGGTGTCACTCACAGAAACAGAGGAAGAGTGTGTCCACACACATGCCAAAAACACTGAAGAAGCCAGTGGTGATGACGTAGGCCCCCAGGATGGAGATCTAGAAGACACAAGGCCTGATGGGGCTGCTGGGTTTCTTGGAGGAGGCAAGGGGTAAGGCAGAGAGGCGGAGTCACTCACCATGATGGGCAGCCAGTAATAGTTGAGTTGGGGATTCTCGAAGTCCTTACCCAGCCCCTGGATGCGGCCAGAGAAGAAGAAGAAGGACAGGACCCCTGTGGGAGAGGCCTGGAAGTCAGTGCCACTCATCTGACGTCCCTCTTAAGTTTCCCAGGACCCCTGCCCTTTGTCCCCAGAACCCGTGGCTCTCGTCCTCACCAATGCCTCCAACCACCAGGAGCTTCCCAAAGAACAGCAACAGGTCTGTGACTTTATCCAGGACGACTACCCTGTAGCGCGGTTGGAGGAGATTAGAGGTGAGAGGCCTGGCAGAGGTGGGAACAGGACCTGCTCCACAATTTGGAGGGAAGGGCCAGTGAAAAATAAAAACAGTTCAGTTTTCAAGATGCAAAAAACAAAGTATTAAACTCCTTAGAAGGGGCCTTGTAAGGAGCACATTCAAACACGCATGAGTCGGGAGAGCTGAGGAGGGGACCACGTGAGGGTGGGAGTAGCCTGACCTGACGATGTTCCGCATGAGCAGCATGAAGGCGTTTTTGGCTGAGACACAGAAATTCTTCCCATAGATGGCGATCTGGGTGAGGTGGGAAGGTCAGAGTTACCTGAGGTGAGCCTGTTTGGACTAGGATCAAGGCCTGGGCCCAAGCACACTGGAGCAAGGAGCTGCTCTCACACTGTGGCTCACCATGATGTATGCATTGCGGTTCAGGAACTTGATAAACTTCTCCAGACACCAAAGGCAGCACTTAAAGCAACACATGATGCAGCGTGCCAAAGGGTTTTGGGCTCCTAGAGGCAAGGGAAGCCTGTGTTTGGCCACAAGTTTCAGGCAGACCCTCCCTAAGGATCCAATGGCTGGTCTTCCCCAGCCCCGAAACAACTCACCTCTCAGCTTGTGGTCAATGTATTCCAGAATGACCCGGGCCATCTGCACAAGGGTCAAGATGAGGGCTCCAAAGGCCAGCGACCCAGTGTGGTAACTGCAGAGGAAACTGGATGACCTGAGGCACCCTTGGGATGCCCTGAGACCCCCACTTTCACAATTCCCAGGGCCCAGACTTACCGGAGTGTGCGGATAAAGGCAGCACTCAAGGGGAAGGTGGGGATGTCCCGGGGCTTGTGGAAAGCCCAGTAGAATGAGGCAAAGGCTCCAGCTAGTACACACTGGCCCAGGGCCAGTACCCAGTTGAGAGTCCAGAAGAGCCCCAGGACTCCATAGATTTGCAGGTTGAAGAGAGAACGCTGTACCAGGCCTGTGGATGTGTAGTCCTGGAAGACGCACATCAGCCCTGGACATGACTTCACCTGCTGATCCTGGGAGGACAGAGTAGCTGTTAGAGACCTTAGTGTAGGGTTACGGCCTCTGCCCACACCTAGCCAGCTCCTGCCCCTCCTGGAATAGAGGGAGGGGAGTAGCAGCCCCTTTCAGCTACAGGAGCCAGGAGCACCTATCTCTACATTCAAACAGTGGCTTCTGTATGAAAGTAGTTAGTTTCACTTCAGTCTCCCAATAGCACAATAGTTTCCAGCCATCTGCGCAAATGTGTAATGGTGCCTGAGAAGGAAGTGTGGCTAGGCAGCCAAGGACCAATGCCCAGCTCTGCCTTGCCTTCACTCAGTTGTCCCATCCTCTGGAGAGCTTCAAAGATCTCCAGTCTGGGCTAGTTGTTCTACCTCTGTACTCACAGCACAGCCTCTGCAACTTCAACCAAAAACACTTCCTAGCAAAACTCAACAGACTGAGTGTTAGATAATATTAAAGAATTGTTGTTAAGTTTTAACCAGAAGGCTGGCGGTTCAAACCCACCAGCCACTCCTTGGAAGGAAGGTTGGGTGATCTACTTCTCATAGTGATACCGCCTTGGAAACCCAAAGAGAGGTCGCTATGAGTCAGGTCCGACTCCACGGCAGTGAGTTTGGTTTGTTTTGGTATTGTTGATTTTACTGGACATGATAATGGTATGAAACAGTTCCAACTCATGGTGACCCCCTATGTTTCAGAGTAGGACTGCTCCACAGGGTTTTCAATGGCTGTAATCTTTCAGAAGTAGATCACTAGGTCTTTCTTCCAAGGTGCCTCCAGGTAGATTCTAACCACCAACCTCTTGGTTAGTAGCCAAGTACTTAATGGTATAAACCAAAACCAAACTTACTGCCATTGAGTTGATTCTGACGTGTAGTGACCCCCATTGGGTTTCCAAGACTGTAAATCTTTATGGAAATAGATTGCTTCATCTTCCTTCCATGAAGCAGCTGGTAGGTTTGAACCACCAACCTTCTGGTTAGCAGCCAAATGCTTTACCCACTACACCACCAGAGCTCCTTACTTAATGGTATGTTGTTGTTATGTGCTGTGGAGTTGGACCCGCCTCATAGCGACCCCTCCTTGGGTATCCGCAGTGGTATCACTATGGAAGTAGATTGCCCAACCTTCCTTCCAAGGAGTATAGTGATTATATTTTTAAAATGTCCTTATCTGCTGAGATCCATTGTTTTCTGATGTATTTACAGAGGAAATAGTATGATGTCCAGAATTTACTTTACAAAGTTCCAATTAAAAGATTTGCAGGTGGAAGTGGGGAGATAGAAGAATAAGCATGGCAGAAAATTGAGAGCTGTGGAACTTGGGTGACGGGTACAGGGATTCACTGTACTATTCTCTCATTTGTGTGTATTGTAAAATTTCCACAGTAGAAAGTTAAAACATACAAATAGAAAACAACTCTTTCCAATAAATGTGAAAAATCTCGATAATTTCTGAAACTGAATATATGTTTAAAATAATATAATAAGAAAGTAAACAAACCACTGTCTACTTTGCATGTAGTTGTGTGTTTGTATCCATTGCTAGATTTTGAGCAAGTTGAAAGCAAGAACCAGGTCATTTTGAGCTTTGCATACTTATAACTGGCAAGTCCTCCATCAGTATAAGTGAGCCTCCCTTCCCTTTTATGTAGGTGGGATTGATGCCTGCTGCCCTAGCCCACAATGCCAGCTCAGAAGACACTTGGAGAACAGCAAATCCCTGGCAAGCCAGGGTTCTAGACCATGCCCTGGCATCTCACAGAGCAGGGTTTCCGGAAGCAGCTTCTCTTCCAGGCTCCACAGGGAATGCCCATGTGTCTATTGCCCAGGTTGCTGGAGGCTGTTTACCCAGGGAGAAAGACTTTAAAAAAAAAAAAAAAAAACCCCACACATTATCAAACTCTTATCTGGTGCCAGGTATGGTACTAAACACTATGTGACTAATGTGTCACTTTATTTTCTCAGCTACTTTGTGGGACAGATATTATAATGCTCTCTACTTTACAAATGAGTGGACTGAAACAGAGGGCAAAGGACACATTAATAGACCTCAAGGTAAGGTAGAGAAATGTCCTGGGGAGGAGTGGAACAAGTTCTGGTCTCCAGCTTCCCCAGGGACTGGCCCTACCCTTGGGTTCACCCTGACTCTTCCCAGCCTTAGTTTCCTTCTCTGCATAATGAGTGAGTTTGGAAGGACTAGATTAAGTCAGTGACACTTGCTTTTTGGCTCTGCTGGGGGCAGCTGTGTGACCTTGAGTGGTCCTCTTGCCCTTTCTAGGCCCCAACCTCCTGTGCACAATGAGGGATTTAGACCAGTAGGCCCCTATTATGGACTGAACTGTGTTCCCCCAAAATATGTGTTGTAAATCCTAATCCTTATACTGTGGGTTATCATACTATTTGGGAATAGATTTTCTTTGTGATGTTAATAGCATTTTTAGTGTAGGGTGTGAATTATATCAATATTTTTTGAGATATTAAAGAGTAGATTAACTTACTCCCATGGCTTCCAGACAAAGAACAGTCAGGCATATTGGGTGATCATTGACATCGGGTAGATACACTACTTGGAGCGATCAATCATGAAAGAACAGAATGGCAGGGTTTGCACAGGGAGACAGCTGGGGCGGGGGTTGCTGGGAGTACTTGGGAGGAAAGGATACAGGGAAGAGGTAACTACAGGGAGGAAGTGGGAAGAGAGCTGTTACATTGTGGGGAATTGCAGTCAATGTCATGAGATAAAATGTGTATGAACTGCTGTATGGAAGATGAATTTGCTCTGTAAATTTTCATGCAAATCACAATGAAAATATTTTTAAAAAATAAAAAATAAAGAGTAGATTAAGCACGCAAACAGAGATGGGGGGAAGATAGATGCCAAGCCCCTTGAGCTAGCCCCCTGAATTCAGCCTTCTAACCTCCTAAACTGTGAGAAAATAAATTTGTTTGTTAAAGTCACTCACTTGTGGTTTATCTGTTATAGTAGCACTAGATATCAAAGACAGCTCCCAATGTCCCCTTAGCTCTACTGGTGCCCCCTCCATGCCCACCCTATCATCTCTCACCATGGGGTTACATGACTCATTCATCATCACGTTCTCACAGCCGGGCAAGCTTGCATTGGGTGCCCATAAGACGTACTGGGGTTGCCCTGATGTGGCCAGGTACCCAGAGGGAAGTCAAAGAAAGTATGGTCATATGGGGTCCCCTCCTCAAGGACCCCTTCCCAGGGCTGCCATGTGCTTGTGCAGATTGCTCTTTGTAAACCAAAAAAACTAAACTCATTGCCATCAAGTCGATTCCAACTCATGACGACCACGTGGGTTACAGAGCAGAGCTGTTCCATGGGATTTTCTTGGCTGTAATCCTCATGGCAGCAGATTGCCAGGCCTTTCTTCCATGGGGCCACTGTGTGGGACTGAACCACCAACTTCTAGTTAGTAATTGAGCGCAAACCATTTGTGCCATCCAGGGACCCAAACATTCCCTGCAAAGAGGTGGCTGACATCCAGCATGGGCCTTCACTTTCCACTCCGTGAAGGTGCAGGGCTGCATCTGCCTAGTGGAATGGCACTAAGATATGGACAAGTGTTGTCCTGCCCCCACCCCCAAGGACTCCAGCAGGGCTAGCTTTGTGAGCAAAGGATACAGGGCAGTCATGGCCCAGTAGGCAATGCAAATGAGCAGGAAGATGAAGGTAACCAATGGGTAGAACATGGTGGACATCATGTATCCCACAGCCCTGCAGGGAGATAAGAATGCTCAACAACAAAGCACTGCTCCCCCTGTAAGGACCCTACTCTGTTCTTACGAGGGCCCACACCACTCCACTCAGGCTGGAGCAACCGAAATAGAGACTCCATCTTTTGTATCTTTATCCCTGGTGCCTTTACAAGGTTGAGTGATGAACTGAATTGAATAAATCAGGCTCAAGAGATCCCAAGAGGGGACCAGACTCACAAAATACCACCTGGGGCAGCTTCAGGGTGAGAAAAGGAAGAGTGTCCCCAATCTCTATGGTCTCTTGATGGATGTAACAGGTCCTGGTTGGGAGCAAGCTGCTGCTTTTCCTTTCTGTCTAGATTACTGCCATCCTACCCATCAATAACCACCACACGATGAAAACTACCAGTACTGTTACCACTAACCCTTGTAGAGGGCTTACTCTTGCCAGGCACTGTTCTTGGCATTTGACAGACACTAGCTCATTGTATCCTCATGACAGCCCTACAAGGTAGTAACTATTATTGCTCCCATTTTACAGATGGGTAAACTGAGACCTAGAGAGGCTAAGTCACATAGCAGTGGTAACTTCTGTATTATTCTGCATTTCTACTCCAGGGCTCCCTGCTACCTGTCTATCTCCCTCATCCAGGCCTGTACTCCTCCCCTCAACCTCATCTCCCTCTGGACAGGCTCGAACCTGCTGGCTTCCTTCAGGAGAGCGATGGCGATGCGAATCCTCTGCCGCAGAAAGATGAGCATCAGTAGCAGGATGCCTTCAAGCACTGCTAGCACGATCACTGTGGGAAGATGGGGGCAGTGGGGCCTGGGTCCACTGTGACCCAGGGCAGCCTTTCGGCAGTAGCTGGTAACTCGGGTGAATGGGGCACTCACGGGCAACTAGCCAGGTCTCCTGTACACCACGGTAGGCGCTGAGGTCGGTGGTGAAGCCCAATTGGGAGATGGTGGCGCCCTTGTCCCGCAGCAGCCGGTATTCCTCCCAGCAGTGGTAGATGCCATATGCCAGCACGGCCAGCACCCCCAGGATCAGCACTAGCACCAAAGGCCCGGCCACCAAGCGCAGGAGCAGGATAAACACCATGCTTAAGACCAGAGCTATGCAGAGGGCACTGCAGGCAGGGTGAGGTAGGCGAGGGTCACCTGTAGTCCCCCAAATCTTTTTCCCTTTCAGAGGCCACCAAATGCCTTTCCTCATTTAGACATTGCCCAGATTAGATATTTCCCTTCCAAACTCCCTTGGGCTTGGGGTCCATTCTGAGCTCTGGCTCCTCCTCCCTTCCCTGTCCAAAATCTCCATTGGTTTCAGACATTGAGCTGGGGGACAGAGGATCCGAAAGGGGAGAAGGGCAGGATGATGGGGGACTCTGATGACTCACATAAGAATCCAATACCAGGATTGGGCAAGATCTTCAAAGATCTTAACGCTGATGTCACGGGCATTGAGGCTGTCAAGAAGACCACTGTTGGGAAGAAACAGTGTCAGATGGGGTCCTGGGAAGGAAGGGAAGGAAAGGGTGTGGGGTAGAGATGCCCACCTGATCCCCTGGGAGATGTTGCCGGTGATCCCTGGGAGTTCAGGCGGAGTACTGTTGGACCATGGAAAACAGCGCCCCAAAGCTGCAGGGTGAGAATGGCATTGCAAAGTGGGAGAGTCCAAGACTCAGCTTGGTCTCCATCCCAGCCCTTAGAGACCTCAGGGGAGGGAGGAGTGATGGGCTCTGCTCCCTGGTTGGGGATGAAGCTGGGGAGGGAGGCTGCTAATGATGCCACAGCCATGGGAGGGAGCCCCTGCCCTGTGGAGCCCAATCTACTCTTCCTTCACTGTCTCAACACACCCTTCCCCACCTCCACGTTTCCCAGTGTCCTGTTGCTGCCTTGGTTCAGACCTTCGTTCCCTTTAGCATGGTCTTTAGAGCTCCTGTCCCTGCAACCTGAGTCAGTCTTCAAAGTGACCTCCTCCTGACTGCCAGGGGGACTACGCCACAACACGACTCTCTCACTCCTAGACTCTAGGGCACTCTGCTGCTCAGACACACCTCCAGAAGCTCTATCCTGGAGACAGTGTCCACACTCCCTAGCCAGGCTTTAAGACTTAGACCACTTTCCCCTCACCTCTATATCTTTGCTTCTACTGAGTGTTCTCCCCCCTCTAGAAACACCAGCCATCACTTCCTACTCAGCTCTAGTTCCATCTTCCCTCCTCCAGGAAGCCTTCTCAGCCCTCCTCCATTGCTTGTGGCACCTGCTCTGTACCTCAAACTCACTGCCATTGAGTTGATTTCCAAGGCAGTAAATCTTTACAGAAGTAGATTGCCCCATCTTCCTTCTACAGAGCAGCTAGTGGGTCCGACTTGACAGCACATAACAACAACAAGAATATATAAATCCATATACATATACACACATAAATATATCAAATGTGATCCTACTATCCAGCCGCATTTACTTGTCACCTTTGGATATTTGGATAAACATCCTTCCAATCTTTTTTCTGAGGAGCTCTGGTAGCGTAGTGCCTAAGGCACTTGACTGCTAACCAGAAGGCTGGTGGTTCAAACCCACCAGCCACTCCTTGGAAGGAAGATGGGCAATCTACTTCTGTAGTGATACTGCCTTGGAAACCCAAGGAGGGGTCGCTATGAGTCAGGTCTGACTCAATGGCACATACAACAACAATCTTTTTTCCATGCACATATATGTAAGTGTGTGTGTACAGATTCACCCATGTGTTATCATGGGGTTCTCTGTCTTTTTGTGAGCATCTCTGATCTCTCCACCTAGAATGTAGCTCCAGGCAGGCAGCAGTTTTCATCTTCCCTCCATCTTTCCCCAATGCCTGGCACATAAACAAACAAACATGAAAAAACCAAATTCACTGTCATCGAGTCAGATCCAACTCAAGCGACCCCTCCTCGGTTTTCCGAGGCAGTATCACTACGGAAGGAGATTGCCCAAACTTCCTTCCGAGGAGTGGCTGGTGGGTTTTAACCGCCAGCCTTCTGGTTAGCAGTCAAGTGCCGGTCAAGTCAATTCCAACTCATAGCGACCTCATCTGTTGCAGAGTAGAACTGCACTCCATGGGGTTTTTAGGGCTGTGTCCTTTCAGAAGTCGATTGCCAGGCCCTGCTTCTGAGATTCCTCTGTGTGGGTTCAAACAGCCAACCTTTAGGTTAGTAGTTAAGTGCAAACCATTTGTGCCACCAGGGCCTCCTTGGCACACAGTAGGTGCCCAGTAAACACTGGTGATCTGACTGCAGGGCCATGCAGCAGAGAGAAATGGAGACCTGGTGCAAATTCCAATCTTGCCACTGCTGAGTGGTGTGACTTCACTCCCTCTGGGCCTAAGTTTCCTTATTTGAGTAATAAAAATATCGGACAAGATGATGCTCAAGGAAGGAATTTGTGCTTCTCACCTGGACTGGAGGGGAGGAGGAAACTGGGGCAGAGCTCTTGCTGCACGCTTTGAAGCACTTTCTGAGGGGGAGGGAGAGAGGACAGACAGACACAAACACAGAGCAAGATAAAAGATGTAGGGACGGCAGAAGGAAGAGTGCGGTCCCCATCTCAGGTTCAGCCTGCCCCGCCCTGAACAGAATCACTCTGGTGATCCTCCACCCAACAACTCCAGCCTCTGCCTCTAGTGACCCTTCTCAGTGACAATAGGGGCAGCACTCACCATATCCCAGGGCACTCCTGGTAGACAAAAGTTCCTATTTGCAGCATAGAAGACCTCTCCAACTGTCTGGGAGAGCTCCTTCACACCCAAGGTCCATGAGGTCTCTGGGCAGGAGGACACACATGTCTAGGGACAGAGAGCACACTAAGGGGGTGGTACCCAGGATTCTGGGGGTGATCTGGGGCAGAAGTTGGACCCAGGCTCTAACCTGGGGAGTGGGACATTTCAGGCCATTTGTGGCAGCTGAGATGACATTGGTAGTCAGGATGCAGCTGAAGATGTTGAAGTACAGTAGATAGGGTTTGTCTCTGCAAGAAGGGAGGGCATAGTACATCAGGGCCTGGTCACACCTGGGAGGCACCAGAGGTGACTACCAGGACTTTGCCTCAGTGGTACACAGTGGGCCCAGCATAGCCCAGACATATTATACCCATCCTGGCCTCAAGAAGCTCAGTCCAGCTGGGGAGGTAGTGGAGACACCCAGATTTCCCAGAGTATGTTAGCTATGAACTCTGGAACTGCGAACCACTCACTAGCTATTTGACCTTTGGCAAGGCACTTAACCTCTCACTGCCTTAGTCTATGTATAACAGTATCTAACTCATCAGGTTTAAATAAGGTAGTACGTGTAAAGTATACTACCTGCACTATATACACGGTACACAGTAAGCACCATATCAGTGTTAGAGGTTTTATTATCTATTGCATTGAGTGTTTACTGCATACAGGAACTGACAATACCACTTGTGGAATAATCCTTGAGTTTCAGAGAAGGTAATCAAAACTCAGAAAGGTTAAGGAACTTATACAAGACCATATAACCAGAACCTAGCTTCGTTCAGATTCAGTTGCCATCTCCATACTCTAAAACCCAACTCTATACCATGACTCTATAACCCACTTACTGGCAAGTCAATTTCAACTCTTGTTAACCACATGTGTGCAGAGTAGAACTGCTCCACAGAGTTTTCAAGGCTGTGACCTTTCAGAAGCACATTGCCAGGCCTGTTGTCCAAGGTACCTCTGGGTAGGTTTGAACCACCAACATTTCAGCTAGTAGGCAAGTGCTTGGTTAACAGTTTGCGCCACCAAGTTCTCCCCATGACTATGTACTGCTTCTCAGTTCTAGCAATGGATAATTGGGGTAGGATTCAGGCTGAAGGTGGGGTGTGCAGAAAGGTGTGGAAGAGCGTGGGTGGATCGGGAGCCTGAGAGTGTTATTTCCAGCCCATTTCTTCCACCCTTACCTCTCTTCTGCTCCTTTCTTCGTACTCACTTGTTTTCCCCCATCCCACAGTAGGCGCCGGTAGAGTTCCTGGGGTAGAGGACTTGCCGGGGGTCTCCATACAACCAGGCTGGAGACAGAAACACACAGATGAATCACTGGAGGGTGAGCAGCTAGGAGTGTGGCCCTCCCTAGGTTAGTACTCCCCACCCGTTGCCCCAGCTCTGGGCAACTGAAAACTCACCCACGAGCCCCACTACGATGTAACCCAAAATGAAGACCAGGAAGAGGACACAGCAGATGACATCTGTGCAGCCCCTGGGAGAAAAATGGGAGCCTGAGCTGGGGGAAGCCTTCGGGGACAGATGGGGAGGGGGAGTGGGGGGGGGTCAGGACTGGAGAATTAGGGGATATTGAATTGGAAAGTAGGGATCAGAGTTTGTTTTTTTTTTTTTTTCTTCCTAAAGAGAGCTGTGTGGAGCTGGCACAGGACCGGGCAGTGTTTCTCTTCATGTCGGAGATGACTCCATGACATCTAACAACAACAACATTTTCCCAAAGTGTGATACAGAAAAACGCACAACTCAGAATGCTTAGCTCAATGAATTGTCACAAAGCGCACATGCCAAGCTCCGGAAAGGCCCCCTCCCAGACACAATTCTCCCAAAACACTTCTGTCCTTATCCTTTACCTTTTCTTTTCTCCTCACCAATATTTCGGCAAATACAAAGCAAAAATCAGACCTGCCCCCTCCTCATCCCCAGGTGCCCAGAACTCACCTGTCCTTGATGGGGCCTCGGAAGGAGGGGTCATATTTAACTGGCTTCCCTGAGGGGTATGGGGAAGAGTGTGGAGAGTGAGGCACTGAGAGGAGTCTCTCCCCATTTCCTGGCCCTTCCCAATTCTTCCCATACCCCAGAGTTAGGTGAGGGATGGATAGGGCCAGGGCTGGCCCTCAAAGAGGGAGAATTGGAGAGTAGGAAAAGTAGGACCAAGGCCTGGTCTACAGTGCATTGGCCTTGAACTCTACCCAGTTGGCCTTCCTTATGGGCCTTTTCTGATTCATGCTTCAAGTCTGGGAAATGGCTTTCATACCCTGCCCTCACTCTGGCCAGTTTCTCTTAAGTCTCCCTCTAGCTGGGATGTGGGACTATGTGTTCAGTCATCTCAATGGCCCTAAGCGTCTATCCTCATCTCTCTCCCTTTCTCATACCCCACCCAGAGACCACACAAATTTGAGCTCCTCTGGGAGGTCACAGCCCCTCCCTAAATCTGTCCCAGGCCCTCCTTCCACCCTCTGGCCTGAGGCCAGGGAGAAACAAACTGCAGCCAAATGGATTTAACCCCTGCAGGGCCTGGGGGTGGGAGGGATCCCCTACATGCCCCAGTCCTAAGGGACTTCAGTCCCCAGTTGTGCCCGTGCCTCCTGGGTTCCAATTGGAAGTCATGGTGACACCTGAGCTCAGCCGTTGAGATTGTGGACGTGTCCAGTTTCCAGCCCTCCCTGAGTACACATGGGAGGAGGTAGGGCCAGGTAGCCAGGGTCCCCTGTGTAGGGAGGGCAGAGGGCTGAATCTGAGACTGTTCTAGGTGCTCTGGACTCTGTTCTACAGGTCAATGATTGACCTAAAGCTGATCCAGGAAGTGTACTAGGGACTCCTCACCAACCCTTCCCCTAGCCTGCCATAAACTCAAGCCCTCCCTCAGGGCTGCCTCCTTTCCAGACCAGAAGAAGCCCAGACCCCCAATCCCTTCAGGACCTTGCAGCAGGCCCCAGTCCTTACTGCTCACAGATCCCTGAGGCAGGTTCTGTTTCCTCTCCCCTCAGACTCCCAGTGCCTGTTCCCAGAACAGGCTTCCAGCCTTTATTCCTCATAGACTCCTGAGACAGGCCCTGCTGCCACTTCTGCCCCAGACCTTACCCTTCACAGGAACCCCAGAACCCCTGCTCCTATTCCTCAGGTACTCTGAAACAGGTTCTCACTCCTCGGTTCTTAAGAGACCCCAGTGGAAGGCCCCAGCTCACTCTCTGCAATGACCCTCAGCCCCAACTCCTCAGAAGAACCCCCACCCTAGCTGGGCCCCTGCTACTAGTTACCACTGCTTACAGGGATCCCTGCAGGCAAGGCTCCCAACCTGCTCAGGGCCCCAATACCCAATTCCTCACAAAGATCCCAGCAGGCAGGTCTCCAACACCTTTTTCCTGGAGGACCCAAAGTCCACGCTGAAACTCTTCCTCCTCGTAGAGACTCCATCCCTTACTCCTCCCTTGGACCCAGATTTCAGCCTCAGCCCTCAAAAACTCCACAGCACATGACAACCCTAGCCCAAGCCCATGTCAAACTCGGGATCCTAATTGCTTCCTTCCAGTCAGGCTTTGTTTTCCAGAGCCTTCCTTTCAAGGACCCAGAGTCCAGGTCTGAAACTCTTCCTCCTCCTCCCAGAGACCCGAGCTCCAACTCCTAGCTAGCTAAGACCCCAGCTTCTCTCCCCAAAGGCCCTAGTAATGGCTCCCAGTCCCTGAACCTCACCCCTCATCCAGGACTAGCTCTGCCTCCTTCCATCATCATCCTTTGTTTCCTGGGGCCCTCCCGTCAGGGAGTTAGAGCTCACCTCAACTCCTCTCCCTGGGAGCAGTCTAGCCACCATTCCCTACAGCGTAGCCCAGGCCTGGCCTCTCCTTTATCCCTACCCTCTGCAGAATCTCAGCCTCCAGGCCTCCAACCCCCAGCCTCACCGTGGGCCTCCTTCTCGTCCCGTTGCCCCATGGCTCAGTCTCTGGAGTGTTTGGAGCTAGGGAGACCTGGCGGCTCACCTGCTACCTGCCCCGCCCTTCAGCCACGTCACAGCCCCACCCCTGCCTGTGGTCCCTGCCACTCTAGTTCCTTTTTAACTCTGTGCCCAGTGGGCTGAGAAGCCTGAGCCTGTGACAGTGGCACAAAGGCTGGCTAGCCAGCTGGGGGATGGTCTATGCTGGGAAGAACCTGGTGCATCCTGACTGTAAAACCCTTCAGTTTTGCAAGACTTCAGTGATGGTGGTGATTTCCATGTCACACAATCCCACCAGATTGTTAAGATTTGCCTTATAGTCCTTGACTAGACCCTTCCTCACAGTGGTGCACACACCCTGACCTCCCTCTGGGCAGCTGGCTACACCAGCCACACCTACCCAGCTTGCTTCCCATCCCCTCCACCCCTTGGACCTGTATCCTAGCTGCTGTGTGCCCTGCCCCACCAATCACCCAGGCAGCTCATTATCAAACCTAACATTTAATGAGAACAGAAGAAACCAGTTGGCAAGGAAGCCTGATTTCAATTCATCCAAATTCGGCTGAGGGTGGGGACCAGAGGGTTGGCCAGCCCTGAAGTCATACTCCCAGGGAGGAACCAGCTCTGGAAGAGGTGGGCTGTCAGACCTCCAGGGCCTGGCTGGGATCTCTGGCTGAGGAATGTGTCAAGGGCTAGGGTGGGGAGAAGAGAGCAGTGCCCCAGGGTGGGCCGTGAGCAGCACGTGGCAGGGAGGCTGCTGAGGTAGGCAGCCATCATGGGTGGGAAGGGAGGATGTGGTCCGTTCTCAGGGGTTGACAGGGGGCAGGGAGCTGAGCTCAGGCAGCAGCTCGGGGTGGGGGTCCAGGCGGGCCAGGCGGCTTTGCTCCAGGGCGATGGCCTCGGCTGAATGCTTGCACTTCTCAGAACCACACTGACAGGTGAAATATTTGCTTTTGATGTCCCAGAAGCGGTCACCATAGTCAAACCTATCAGAAGAATACAAGGCACTTGGGACCCAGACCCAGCTGCCCTGAGCCACACCAACGCCTCTGTTAAGCATACTCCCTAAGAGAAACTCAGGCAACCACCCCATCTTCCAACACTAAGCCCTTGTGTGTTCTTTAGGTTTGAACCACCACCATCACCTGGGAGCTCAAAAGAAATGCAGAATCCTAGGCCCCAACCCTGACCAAGTGAATCAGAATCTTGGTGAAGCCCAGGACCTCGTTATACCAAGCCCTCCAGGTGGCACTCAGGTACAGTGAAGTCTGAGCGGCTTGTTCTAACCCACACCTGAAATGAAACCAAGTGCTCCCCAGCTTTCTGAGTCTGGTCCCAGGCTTGCTCCATCTCCCATGCCTGGGCAAGGTCCTGGGACATCTCACCCCAGCTCTTCCCCAGTCCGGATGTCCCGGGAACTGAAGAAGGCGATGCGTGGAAACCGCAAGTCTTGGTGCAGCATGAAAACTCGGACAGGGATGATGTTGGGGTCACACAGGTGGTTGATGAAGCGGCTGATGTTGCCATAGTAACGGGCATCGATGCAATACACCTCTCCATCCTGAAGGCAAGGGCATCATTCTTCACATCTCCCCTACTTTGCTTGCCTGGCCAACTACCAGTGACCATCCAGTCCCTCACTGGGTTTCCACCTGCTGACTTCCCAGAGGGACCCCAGCAGTTCAGCCACTGAGAGTGTGGAGGATGGGATGGGGCCGAGGGGTTTCCTGCCCACCTTGTTGTCTAAGTCGAAGAGATAAGAATCATCTTCTCTTACATCGGCCTCAGCATCGGAGATCAGCTCCCCGACATACCTGTTGGGCAGGAAGTGGCAGTTCTGAAGGTGAGCAGGGGTTACGGGGAGGCTGCTCCAGGCTCCATCTCTCCTCACAATTCCATGCAACCCCTTTCCAATACTTGTCATCTGGACTAGTCACTACATGAATGCCACAGACCAACACAGCTGAGGCCAGTGGGGAGTACCCAGAGAGGAGGCTGGACATCACCTGGAAGGGAGGTGGGTATTCTCCCCTAGGAGGTACTTAAGAGGAGCATGGGGACACAGACATGTGAGGTGGTAACATAGGACACAACATGATAGCTCCCTACTGAATGGCTGGAACATAGGCAGTACTAGCAGGTACTGGGGGAGCCCAAGACAGGTGGGCCAAGGACGATCTAGAGAAGCCATAGTGGGAAAGTTACACGGATAGGTTTGAGATCTGTCAAAAGAAGGTTCAAGTGAGCCTGGAAACACAAACCCTCTATGGTTATGGGGATTAGTATCTACGGGCAGTCAGGGTGGGGAAATTCACCGGAGTTTAGACGCAAGGAGGTTTATGTACTAAGATCACCTGGCAGGTGGTAGGTAATTCAGGGCTGAAGTACAGGAGGGCATTAGGGCTGCAGGGAGAGCTGGAGCCACAGGATCCAGGAGGCACTTGGGGAAGGAGTTGGGTTGAGAATAGCACATTGGAACAGTAAAGAGAGGAAGAAGAGCCAGCATAGGACAAGTGGGTCAAAGAGGTGGTGTCGGGGTGCTAGGAACCAGAGTTGTCATCAAAGAGGATGAGGCAGGTGTTCAGGAGAATGAGCACTGCAGAGAGGCAGTATCTTCAGAGGGTGAGGGCAAAGGCAGATTTTGGCAAGGATAAGCAGTGAGTGGATGGTGTGGACATGGAGGCCCAAGAGGAAGGGGGGCACTTGAAACTTGAATGAGCAGCTGAGAGGACACAAAGGAGAAAAACTAGATAGTCCCTTGTATAGGCAAGCTGCCACCACCACCATCACCACTACCACCGGCAGCCATCAAGTTGACGCCAACTCATGGCGACCCTACGTTGTCAGAGTAGAGCTGTGCTCCATATATTTCCAATGGCTGATTTGTTGGATGTAGATCACCAGGCCTTTCTTCCAAGGCACCTCTGGGTAAACTCAAACTGCCAACCTTTTGGTTAGCAGCCAAGTGCATTAACCGTGTGGACCACCCAGCGACTCTTGACTAGGCAAGCAGGATTAGCTAAAGGCTAAAGTTTGAAGGCTGTGGAGCAGGAGCCAAGGGAGAACGAACAATTACAGAGGCTGGGCAGAGAAGGAAATGAGGGAGGGACAAGGCTCCTGAAGAGGACTGAAAGACAATAGTTATTTCCATTTTATAGATAAGAAAAATAAGGCTCAACGAAGTTCAGCAACTTGGCCAAGAACACGTAGCGTCAGAGGGGCTCAAACCCAGGACTGCCTATTTCCCAAACAAGTGCTTTTCCCAGCTCAGATGGCAGGGGAGAGTAGGTGTAAGGCTCAGAGAGATGTGGAGATGAAAAGAGAGGAAGATGTGCACTCTGGGGTCTGGGCAGAGTGGAGGCGTCGTTCTCGGCTGTGGGGGCGGGGGTCACAGGAAGCTGGCTGGAGGATGGGGAGGGAGAGAGGGGGCTCATCTGGGAGGAGGGCAGAGAATGAGGCCTGGGAAGTGGCCATGTCCCCACCCCTCACCCCCAGGTGCTAAGGTGCCCCAGCAGACTCACTCGCAGATGAAGGTTCCCTGGGGGATGGTCTGCAGGGCGCGGACCCCCCAGCCCATCTTGGCTGTCCGGTAGAGCTGCAATCGCACCCTGGGGGCAGGAGGGAGGGTGATATTGGGTGGAGGGGCCTGGAAAAGCCCCAGGGTGGGGGAAGGGGTGCCCCACCACTCTCTGCTGAGAAAGGGGTGAGGCGGGTATGGGTGGGCTGCAGGCCAGGGCCTCACTTGATGCCGCTCTGCACCACCCGGTTCTTGCAGTTCCTCCAGCAGGAGCACGCCTGGTTACACTCGAAAATCAGGGGGGGCTCAATCTTGTTAAACTCCTGGAGCAGCCGCCCATCCTGGGGTCCAGGGAGAGGGGAGGACAGTGGTCTGTGTGGTGCCCACCTCAGCTGCCCAGGATCCCCAAGACCCCACAGAAAAATGCACTGCTGACTCCAACCCAGATGGGGAAGGAGAAGCTGGGGGGAGGCCATGTTGGCCCTGAGCTCAAGAACAGGAAGCATACAGCCATCACCCTCGATTTGCATATACCTGGGCGCCAGTCACCTCTGTCCTGGCAGTGTCCCAGGAGGTCCCTAGGTACTGCCCCACCCTCTCGGTCACTTCCTCCTCAGGGCAGGAGGTAAGGGAGAAGGGCCCAGGGACTGGACTGATAGGGGCTAGATCCTCTGGAAAAGAGAAAGACATTAGAAGTGCGTACCTTGTCATACCAGCACCGGATACTGAGCTGGCCGCACAGGCAGTTGGAGCTGGAGCAGTCATCCACACACGTGCAATGCTGGGCAGGGAGGACAGGGTCAGCTCAACCCTAGGATACTCTCTGCCCCAACCACTATCTTCTCTGGGGACCATGTTTTGGAATAGTGGTGGCTAGGGCCCCAGAGCAAGAAGGAATCAAGATACTGCTGACGAGGGGTGCCCCCAGGGCTGCCCTGTGGCCTAGAAAAAGTAGCCCTTCCTCGAAGTGGACATAGCCCCACACTATGCTCACTTTCAGACCCCCACCCTTGCCAGTATCCTGGGTGGCCCCAAAATTTCCCAATGACACTCATACCTCTCTCTGGGAAGGCCTCTAGCTGCCTGCTCACCTGCAGGTGAGTGATGTTGCGGTCGATGTTCATGGTAGAAGTCTCACAATTCTCCGAGATGTACTTATAGTCCTCGGGGCAGGGCTCCGCATCCACACCATTGACACAGGGGATGGGCACGTTCTCATAGCCCCGAGCCACATCTCTGGGAGCAAAGGGGTAGATGGGGCTAGTGAGCTAGGGCAGGGGTGAGGGGCTCCCCCAGGTGCAAGCAGGGGCTGAGGATGCTCATGAACTCAGTGGGGCGTGGGACAGAGCTAAGATGGTGCCAGGGCACTGGGCCATGGGAAGGGCCGAGCGTGAGTCTGGGATGGTTCGAGGGGTCCGTTGTGACATGGGGAGTAGAGTTTCTAGACAAAACTCAGAAAATCTGAATTTCAAATAAACACAA